TTGAAAAAGTGCCAGGTTTATCCTAAAAATCGGTTTAATTCCTTACTTCTTTATAAATCCGTCTATATTCTTATGTATAAAAAACAGAAGCGGAGTCATAATATAAGAAAAGATATCATATTCTTCAGTTCCTCTTAAATAGTATTCTTTAAAAGTACCTACCTCGTATACATAATGCTATTTTAAATCAAGCTTTGAGGATAATTATCCTTAAGCAATATTTGTTTATGACTTTATAGCTCACTATCCCACTTGTCTTTTCACGCTAACCTTAAACTCAGAATAAGCATTGATTGTAAAATACGAACCTTAGCTTTTTAACAATGGCTGAAAAGGAAACTAAGGGTTAAGCCACCATAGACTGATTTCCTATATTCACCCCTGTCCTGATAACAAAAATACACAGAAATGGTTCATTATTACACTTTTACACTTCCCCTGTTAACTTACTATTACTACCACGTTGGTTAAGAAGGGAATTAGATTATCTCATTGTTAGGGGGACCTTCATTTCTAATGAAAGTGCATGAAGAAGAGATTCGTTAGTCGATCTCACCAGATAAGGACGAATAAAACTCGTTGTACTGCAGCCGTTTGGCTTTTATACGATATTCATGTTGACACAGTCCATACAATCGAGCAAAAATAACAGAACCAGTATGAAAAAAATTAACCAAACTACTCTATAGCGATCTATCTAGATTTTTTAATTTTTAATTTTTTGGCTCGATTGAGTCTATATAAGAAGCAAGATAGAGCAGGATAGTGTTCTTGCTTTAGTGTTAATGTGAGACTTTTACAAGAATGACACCCAGCTCTGATGATGTCCATCATATGTTGGACGAAAGCTCAGCACGTTTTCACCCCAAAACGAGGGAGGAAGCCTCGTGGACTGCGTCAACATAAATATCATATAAAAGCCAACCGGCTGCAGTACAACGAGTTTCATCCATACTCATCTGGTGAGACCGACCAAGAATCTCTTTTTCATGCACTTTCATTCTAAATGAAGTTCCCCCTAACAATGTTATATCAGGAGATTCATCGAAACCAACTTTATCTTCGTATCTATATTATCTCATTTGCACCTAAGAGGCTGAAAAATATGCAATAAATATATATATA